ACCGAAAATGATTATTACAATAACGCCAGACTTAAGGAAAAATTGGTACGTTGAAATAAAATGTATAACATCCTCAGTCACATCGCTATAAAACCGCTGTAAGTTACGCTTCAATAATTTATTTATGAAATTACTTCCAAATTAGCTTGATTACATCAAATGCGAATAATGTTGCACTACAAAACTTATATGATATTTTTCATTATAACATTTGTCTATAACAATGATACCGTTTCCTCCATTCCAAACATCGCGCATTGCTTGGAATGGGGAAAATGGGACCGAGATGACAAACGTTATAATGAAAAATATAATGCAGCATTTATTATTTATTGTCTCCATTCTATTAATATTTTTAAGGCTTAGGATTCCATTCTAAAGTTCGTAATGAAAAAAACTGTTTATCTATCTATTATTATTGCTGGCCAAAAAAACCATTTTCCGTAAAATCACATTGAAAAAAGACTGTTATTACGTTAATTGTAAATTTGATTGATTCAACCAGTATGTCTTTAAAAAAACGGACGAATTAGAATTCTTGTAAGAATTACCGATTGAGAACGATTAATATATTCGTATTGAATGTATCACAGTTTCTTGTTAGTCAATTAAATTTTTCCATGTAAATAAATCAAAATTTCTTGATGATCGAATAATCGCCGTTCTCGTCAATCGAATTATATGTATATGTCGTCATTCCGTTAAATCTAAAAAAATTTCTTATTGATCGTTAAGTACAGAGGGACCAATATGATAAAGTTGAAACTAAATGATGATTACTTTGCAATAAGTGGGCCGAATTAAATGTATCAAACGCCATTTTGTAGAAAAAACTTATCAAATTTATTAACATATGTGTATATATATATGCATAAAAGATGTTTAATTATTTAACAATTGAAACATTACAAAAGAGATGGCAAAATATATGCTATTGCGTGCGCCGTACGGTGTGAATCATATCTTCCCCCAATCCCCAATTAGAAAAAATTCTTCTGACATACTTGTTCACATTTGTGGTTCACGCCTTGTGGCAACCTGGCATTATACTTATACTGACGTTCCATTATTAAGACTTCTATTATTTATAAGAGAGAGAGTTATTTCTGTTTATGCGACTAACGAGTGCGCGATCAGTATCGGACGCCACTTGAACACGAGACGTGCCAGGACGTGACACCATTGACTCATGCCCACGATGATCCAATGTATCCTGCATGTTATCGAAGAATAGTTCTTTTTCTTCTCTGGGCTTGTTTATGTCTGGGGCGTAGACGCTTATGAAATGTGTTCTTTCATTGTTTGCTTTTAATATGACCCGAATTATGTTCTTATTTATGTAGTTCACTTCGTCTATTATGTTTTCGAATTTTTGGTGGATCAGTATTCCCACACCTGCCATCGCTCTGGTGTTTTTCTCTACTCCGCTGTAGAAGAGAGTGTAGTCCTTATACCTGACGTTTCCTTATCCTTTCTTCTTTGTTTCTGAGAGTGCGCAGAGATCTATGTTGTGTGCTTTTATTTCGTTCATGATTTCTTGGTCTTTTCTATTCTACGATGTTATATTCCAGCATTCTAGATGCATCCCGTTTGCATCCATAAACGCTTTTTCCTCGAGTTTGCCGTGTTTTTATTCCGTGAGTTCCGTCCTTGGCTCATCCGAGGCTTGATTTGCAGTTCTATGAGCGTATAGCGTTTTTTTTTTACGAGGGGTGGGTTGCTAGCCCATTTCCCCAACCCTCCTCCTTTATCCGGGCTTGAGACCGGCTGTGTCGGCATATCTACGCTGGTGAAGAAGAAGAACTACCCTGGAAATTTCCTGTCAGTGCCACGATACTGGCCAGCGACACGATACTTTGCCACTGCTTTGCCACGCCATAACCTTTTAAAAAAATCTGACATGGTCCATAAGAGGCCTAGTCGTGCATCTGATGTAGACATGATATGGAAATAGCTTAGCATTCGCAGTAAAATTTATTAAATAGTAGCCCACGAAAGGCCCAGGCTCATGCCACACATGATGAAAATATGACCGTAGCGCTTGTTCGCATCGCAGTATTTCGTGGCTGACAGATTTTGTAACCTGAATAGTCGTAAACTTTGATTAATATCTCAGGCTCGCAGAGCAAAGTAACGCTTTTTTCTGTCAGAATCTTTCGTTTTAAGCAAAATCACATCAAGTAAGCATAATCTCATTGATTTTTGAGGTGGCAGTAGCGAAACTGAATCATACCCTTTTTTCTTATCAAATCTTCATTTTTACACGAAAAATCAATAAAATTAGGCTTACTCGACGTTTTTTTTTTTTCATAAAACGAAAAAATCTGGCAGAAAAAAGCGTCACTCTGCCCCGTGAGCCTGAGATATTAATCTTGCGACTATTGAGGTTAGAAAATCTGTCACAGCCTGGTGTTGACAAGTATCGTGACGGTGTCGAGGACAATCACTTCTCGACGGAACGAACGGCAACGAGAATGGGATAGATTGCGGAAGGAAAACACTAGAACACAAACACAAATAGCACAGACAAACACAGCCACACTTAAGTTAATAAATAAACAAACCAGCGTATTATTTCATTTCCATGTAATTTCCTCAAATATTAATAATATTAAACTATCAGCAGAGGCATGAAATTAAGAATGGTTACAGTAGGAGATATATAAGTACCGTTGGCAATAACTCGATTACAAGCGTGCGATTAACTCAGCGTAAATGTATTAGACTAACATTCTAGGGATCGTAGGTTCAAATCTTGTCGGCGATGCGTTTTTTAATAATTAATTGTAGTTAATAAGACAAAATATAAATATGAGAAGAAGTAAATGATAAATTGAACTGGAGAAATAGTGAAATAATAATAAAAAAAATTATTTTTTTCATTAAGGTATAACTTAGTTATATTAACCCTTGAACACCACACTATTTTCGCTACCTGATTTCACTACACATGGGTTACGGTAACCCTGGAGTCTTCTTTTACTTTTATCCCGGGATCTAATGCATCAATTTTAACTTTTCTTTTCAATCGATACAACAGACAGTATAAGGAAAAAGAATATATAGATAAGAATATCATAAAACTTCCGGTAACCAAGATATTTTGAAAAAAAAGAAGAAAAAAATTTCAAAATAAAAAAAATCGTTGTTTTTTCAAACGGACTGGGTTACCGTAACCCAATGTGGTGTTCAAGAGTTAAGTATAACTGTAACTTTTATATTACATAAAAAAACTGTTTTTATTTAAGAAAATTTTTTTGTTATAGGGTAAAAGCAGGAATTATGGAATACCTTTTTTTAAATTACATTGATCCGATATAAATACATATGAAGACTTTAAATTTACACAGAACTCTTGAGGAATATATTAGCTACAACATCCAATAAATGAAAGTCGCCAAAATTTAAGTCCAACGTCAATATTAACAAAAAAGTCAAAAGTGAGAAAATGGGGGGGGGTCTAAAAAATGGGATGTAATATGGTGTTACGTCCAAGCTCTCGGAAAGTTTGATTGAAGGAGATAAGGAGGGAAATGAGAGGTTGTGGAAGGACGCTTAGACTCAGTCTCTCAGGTATGCGCGTAGAGGCGAACACCCGAGAGTTGAACGCACCTTTTATTGCTCTGGAATATGGGTCAGCGTCCCGAAGGGACCCTATGACACCTGTTTCCTATGAGCAGTGCGAACGTCGGTCCTACTTTCGGGTCAAGGAACTTAATCCTTTTTACCCAGGACTGGACCACGTGCGAACTTAAGAATGCTAGTGGAATTACGGGATACGAGGGGTTTTAAATAAATACGTCTTATTGAGCAAAGATGTTCATTTTAAAATTAACATAAATTTATTATAAAAAACATAATGATAAAAAGAAAAAAAATAAAATGATTATAATATAATAGTATGTAAACTGGCGGTAAAAACTTATTTAATGTGTATGTGTATATGTTGCGTTTACAGTTACATAGAATCGGGTAAGTATATTTCTTGTGTGTAATTGTGTAATAGGCTAGGAGAGGGATGGGATTATAAGGTGCTGGTGAGGAAAGCGGTACAGGAGCACAAGGGTTGGATGTGTCGGTAAAGGACTGTATAAGGAGTGGGATTGCCAGGGATATATACAGTGACTATTTGATCGGCCTCATTATGAGCCGCGGAATAGAATCGGAACATCCGATCCCATTTCTCGGGGGAAGGACCAATGAGAGATGAAGCCGGTGGAGGGATTGGGAGTTGGTCTGAGGAAGGGGGTGGAATTGGTTGTTCGAGAGGGTCAGGGGGAGGGAATCGCTCGAATATGGGAGGAGGAGAATATTGCAGGATATCAAGGAGTAATGGGTCAGGGACGGAAAGAATGGATAGATCTAAAGGAACATTATCGTCGGAACAGGGGAGTAAGATATTTCGATGTCTACACTATTTGGTGGTACTGATGCTAACAAGGGGAGCACCAGACATTGTCCCCTCCGATTGAGTTGAACTTTATATATGTTATAAATCTGTCCTCCCACTAATTCATCTTAAAGTAATAGGACCCGCCTCTCAAGCGTTCGCGAGAAAATCGCGTTTAAAGATTTACGTGTGCGTAATGTACCGTGTAATAAGAAGAGATCGACACCGTCATTCAATGTGCTCATTGTAAAACAATATTATGTTTTGTATGTTTTTACGATGAATATCATCCCAAAACATGTAACTCATCATACAATCAGTCTTATTCCGAAGATTAGCAAATAATAGCTTACAATTACTGAAATATATGTTTATTACAAATTTGCTTATTAAAATCTTATGAATAATGTTATAGAAGATTGACTTTTTTATTTTCTTCCTTACTTTCCTTTCATTATGTATTCTGAAATATCTTATTAACTCATTCTGAAATTACATAAATTATATTCACAAAAGAAAACCTTACAACCATTAATAAATAGATGAATTTCATAATATCTGAAATATAATTAATTGTATAATTAAAACAGTTATTTTATAGGCTAAATATTTAAAAACATACACCACACGCAATAGCACGTTACGAGGACTGATTGTATGATGAGTTACATGTTTTGGGATGATATTCATCGTAAAAACATACAAAACATAATATTGTTTTACAATGAGCACATTGAATGAAGCCCATATTTTTGCAAGCACACGATTTTTCAATCATTGAAGCAGGAAAACATATTTCGTTCATATTCAGAAATATCGGTCTCTCTTCTATTAATTTTGATGCGTACCACGCGTATAAAAGCATCGATTTAAAAGCGGGAGCGCTCAATTGATGCAATAGCAAAGAATGTATTTTAATAGCATCTTCACGAGCACCTATTTCTCGTTGCTGTTGTAATAAAGTGGGACAATTTTGCAACTTTTTAATAAAATTTTTGACTTGCCGATAAAAATAAACGTCACATGGTTGACAAAGAGGTGTACATTTAGGAGGAATTACTTTTACAGTACATGATGATCTGCCTACTTCATCATCGAAAATATCGTCGTACAATGTCAAATCCGTTTGACCTCCCCATGAATCAATCAACAATAAAAATTTATTATTTGCAACATAAGGCGATAAACAATATCTTAAATAATCTGTATATATATTTTTTGTCAATTTACCCGATTTCGAACATGTTACAAAAACGTTTTTATATTCTGCAATGAAATGATCAACTTTTTTTTGCACCAAAGGACCAAATTTTCCTGTCGATTCCTGCATGCATAAGAAAACGACAGGTAATATTTTCCCCGAAGCAGTAATAGTGTATTGTGCTGTGTAAGAGTGAGAGATATCATGCAGGCTTTTCTTTGTAATCTGGACAGTCTTTGAACCTTGTGGTGCAAGCATTCTATTATATGTAATTTGATATTGACAGCCTGTTTGATCCGTGTTGATAACAAAATCAAAATCATAGTCCGGCATAATTGCTCTTGTTTGTATTTGGAATCGTTCGGCTGATTCCAACATTTCATCTAACGATGCAAGTTCTCTGTTACTAATATACCTTGTAATTTTTCGTTGCCTTATTTTGTATTTATTCTTAAATCTGTCCATCCAACTTTTGCTGGCAGAGAATTTAAAGGCATCAGTAATAAATGGAAATGCTATCGCCATTGCCCACTGTTGTAAAGTTCTCGTTGTTATCTGAAAATTAATGTAAATATTAATTTAAATTTTTGAAATGTTTATAATTCTATAATATAGAAATATTGTGTAAAATTATACCTGCTGAAGACACTTTCTTGCTTCCTCAAAGTGTTCGAATGTCTGCATTTCAATATATTTCCACTTATCAATTGATGTTCCTCTTCTTTGGACGTCTTCTTACCATGCACGCAGCATTCTTTTATCTTTTAATTTGTGGCAACCTTTCCTTTGCAAATTTTTTATGCTCCATTTAGGATGAAGCTCGGCAAGAGCAACCGTTTTTTCTTTGTACGCAAAAGGAATAGTTTTATAATCGCGAAGAACTTGCAATTCCGGCTGATATTCATCAGCTTCTTCAGGTATACACTATAAACAGAGCACATTTATGTTGTTAATTGTATGTCAACTTTAATGATTCAAAAAGACAAGCTGAAATATCAACAAAAATTCAAAACTTACCTCTTCATACTCTTCTTCATTGACAATATCAATTTCTTCCGCAAATATCAGATCATCATCTATAATTATTCTGCGATCTTGTAGCATGAATATTATTTCATTGAAAATTTCTTCACCCATAGCAATGGAAGCCTCCGATATTTCAGTTGGTGGAGTATTAGTTAGCAGATTTTCTGCTTCTAATAAACTCTTGCAATAAATAAGAGCGTTTGTTAGATTGTTTTTCATTGCTTCATTTTCATTCGGCGGAGACTCCGGGCTTGAAATATTTTCTTCGGCACTGGAACTTGTTGGTTCTTGCATTTTTATAAATTATATATTCGCACTGCACTTTACACACGATATGCTATGAACACGTGCTACTGCTCGAATGAACCCAACGGTCTCATAACCGTTGAAACAACCTATAGCACAGTATAAGTATATACAGTATGGACAATGAACTTTTTATAACCTCAATTTCTAGTGCGCATGCGTCAGTTATCCTACCAGGAATATACTTATACTGTGCCTATAGTGTTACAAAGAAAACAAGTTCTCATGTGGCGCACGCATAACTACACAGATATCCTTGCCAAAAGGGATTGTCTCTGCAGCCGAAATTCGTTGCGACGAGAAGAAAAATCGTGGCAAAAATTATTTGAAATTTGTTTCATTGAATAGCAAATAAATTTCAACATATAATTAATAATGTTTCATTAACACATTCTAAAATTATATAATATAATTATATTACTTTTTATTCACAAAACCTTACAACCATTAATAAATAGATGAATTTCATAATATCTGAAATATAATTAATTGTATAATTAAAACAGTTATTTTATAGGCTAAATATTTAAAAACATACACCACACGCAATAGCACGTTACGAGGAAATTAAAAAAAAAAAAAAAAATGTAAAAAGTAAGACTCGAACCAGTCATCTGCAGCATTCTAATCAGGCGGCGCCTTAACCGACTGAGCTACGCCGCTTCGGTGTCGATCTCTTCTTATTACACGGTACATTACGCACACGTACATCTTTAAACGCGATTTTCTCGCGAACGCTTGAGAGGCGGGTCCTATTACTTTAAGATGAATTAGTGGGAGGACAGATTTATAACATATATAAAGTTCAACTCAATCGGAGGGGACAATGTCTGGTGCTCCCCTTGT